CCTGCCTCCCCTGCACACACCTGCACACACCTGCCTCACCTGCACACACCTGCACACCTGCCTCACCTGCACACACCTGCACACACCTGCACACACCTGCCACACCCGCCTCACACCTGCCTCACCTGCACACACCTGCACACACCTGCACACACCTGCACACACCTGCCTCACCTGCACACATCTGCCTCACCTGCACACACCTGCACACACCTGCCTCACACCTGCCTCACCTGCACACACCTGCACACACCTGCCTCACCTGCACACACCTGCCTCACACCTGCCTCACCTGCACACACCTGCACACACCTGCCTCACCTGCACACACCTGCACACACCTGCCTCACCTGCACACACCTGCACACACCTGCACACACCTCCTCACCTGCACACACCTGCCTCACCTGCACACACCTGCACACACCTGCCACACCTGCCTCACCTGCACACACCTGCCACACCTGCCACAGCTGCACACATCTGTCTTATCCTCATTATTCCCTTTAAGGAAAAGAAGGTGACTGCAGTCTTCCACCACAACGTTCTGGGCGTGGCACCTCCGCAGAGCTCCTCTCTTCACGCTCTTTAAAACTCGACATTTAACATTAAACATCGTTTTCTGACATTTTGAAACGGAGTCAGAACCGTTCGATCCATCAGGAAGAAAACTCCTCCCCTAGTGTGCGCGACGAGGTACCAGCTTGTTTGTGCACGGGTGTGAAATGGTACCGGCTGTATACCCAGTGCTGGGTACAAAAGGAGCACAGGTACAAACGGACCAGCACGACACACGACGACGCGGAGGTAAAACGATATAATAATGGTGACGTCATCATAACCTTTCATGGAGATGCTTTCGATTAAATCTAGTTTATCTAAAAACATTCTTGCATTTTCTGTGTGTTTAAATCAGCGGTGATTTTAGCCTCTTTTTGGGGGTGTTGAAGCACCCCTAAATTTGATCTCATCACCCCTAAAAAAATAAGAAACCATCATTATAGCATTGTGTAAGGAAGCTTAGCTCCCAAACCTTAGATTCACCAAAATATTGAATAACTTTGGAATAACTTTGGAATAAATGATGACAATCTTAAACGGGTCAGTAAAATCTATGATTTTAATTTTAATTTAATTTTACTTTATTTTTGCACGAGTCGATCCTCCTGTCAATCAATCAATCCTAGACGCGTCAGCAACTGACCAATCAGCGACCTCAATTTATCCCGAAGTGAAACGCCCCTTACCTGCAGGAGCTCCACCCACTTTTCCTCCAACAACTTGGTCAAAGACTTTGCTGTCAGAGGAATTTTATGAAAAATCATCATAAATTGATCAAACGTTGTCAGTGGAGAACATGTGACTCAGACAGCATTACCCTGAGTGTTTAGAGCATATGTGTCAAACTCAAGGCCCGGGGGCCAAATGTGGCCCTCGTGGACATCTTATCTGGCCCCCAAGATGATATGTGAAATGTAAAATACTTCTATCTCTTGACTTTTTTCAGTGATCTTTGATTATGATGTCAAAAGCACAACAGGGAACATCAAACGAGACCAATCACACTCTTGTTGAGGAACCTGTGACCAAAAAAAAGATGATGTGTATCTGATTTGAATTAATGTAGCTTCTGAAATTGGCCCTTAGTTTGAAAAAGGTTTTAATTTTGGCCCCCTTTTGTAAGTGAGTTTGACACCCCTGGTTTAGAGGGTTATATACAGCTATGTCTACATATAAAACACACAAAACAAAGCACAACTAGCATTAACCTTTAACCATTAAGCATGCAATATAATTATGACAGAAAATGGAGGATTGCCTTCGTACAGCTGAACATGTGGTACTTTCCGTTTATCACTGTTGTATTGTTGCAACTTCTGGTTGCATAAATTTAGTCTTTGTTGTGACCAGTTTACCCATTTACCCGGGCTTGGAACAGAAGCGAAGCGTGCTCTATTCACACAAGGAGAGCTGTTGGTCAGGCTACTTCTTGTTGCTCTCTAATATAGTTATTGAATCAAGTGTTTTCTGATGCAGGTAAATGTAGATGTTTACCCGTTAAAAGACACCAGAACGCAGGAAATGGCAACTACTTTATTCAAAATTTACTGGGGGAGGACCCCAGACCCCCCCACCTGTGTCCCCCAACCTTACAAATGCTTCTGACGCCGATGGCCACCGCGTTTTCAAGAGCCATTGTAACACTGGGGGTCTAAGCGCCCCTAAAGGACAGACTCTAGCATCGCCCCTGGTTTAAATTCGTTTAATTACGCATTTTTCTCTTTTTATTTGTTAAACCTCAAACGATCATCTTTGTCGTTAGTTTCCGATCCACGCGCCGACGAGCTACTCCCACGCTCTTATTTACGGATCTGAGTTTTTCCAACATGTGACAACACAACACTGGAAGAGTCCGAGGTTTAGGTCGAGTAAAGTTGCTGAACGGAAGGTTTGAATGAAACAGTTCGTGAACTTCTTTTGTCTGATCTGAAGGCGGAGCTCCGCCAGAGGACGCTCAACATGCTTTAGCTTATTTCTAAACGATTAATATTTCACTTTTTCATCAGACTTGGGGCCCTGCAGGTATTTCAGTGGAACGGAAGCGTTTTGTTTTCGATCGGGGGCAGCAGATAGATTTTTGAACTTGTGCCCAGATTTTCCGTCTCTGAGAGTCCACGCCTGTGTGTTTATTTTCATCCGTTTGTCTTTGCAGCAGCCTCATGTCTGAGAGCTGCTGTTTCCAACATCTGGCCTTCAGGAGGGTAAATAAACTCCCCTCCCAGCCCCGCCCTCACTCAGACCTGGCTCTACGGTGGAAAACTCGTCTGGATGAGCAGAGCTGAAGACTCCTGCTGCTGAACGTTTACGTTTCCAGCACTTAATGTACTTAGGATTTGGACTTTATTTGTTCTGGGAGTTCTCAGCCTGGCGCTGGTCTGAGGTCAGAAATGTTTAGAGGACAGACCAACGGCCCGGAACCGGTCTCCTTCCTCCTTCAGTCTGTCTCTCAGTTGATGTTTCATCACTCTTTCAGTCTCTCTTTTTACATCTGTCTTTAAGGTCGCTTTACTCTCTCGTTTTCTTCTTTCATCTCGTATAAGACGTTCGGTTTGTTGGACCTCCTGAAGGTCCCTGGAGCCTCTCTTTGGACCCCTGAAGACACCTTCAGGCCAAACAGTTCCAGGAGCACCGTTTATAAAACATAGAAGCCCTTGTAAAAATCTCTGCCTCGTGTTCTGCCCTCTGTTGGCCCAGAAACCGTCTCAGTGGGGACGTTATTCTGCTGGTTGGAGTAAAATGGACAAAGAAATGAAGATGAGACTTTTAGATGAAGCTGCTGCTTCAACAAAACGTCTTTTTGGTTTCAAACTCTAGTGAGAATGCTGAGACAGCACGTTTCCATCCATCCTGCTACTCCTTTCCGGGTCGCAGGGAGCTGGTGTACGTCTCAATCAGTCACTGTGAGAAGCAGGGGACATCTGGACATGTCTCGAGTCCATCACAGGAACGCACAGAGGCAAGACATTTCTTGGCAGCTGCTGAGATGCAGAGTGACCGACTCAAGTGACTCCAGTAAAGCAGATGATTCAAATCCATAAAGTGAATCACATTTACCAGCTAGAGGGCGCTCGTCCTCTGTGGCTTCAGCTTCGGGCTTCTGGTCTTGTCTCTAGTTTTGAAACACTCCAGTGTAGTTCTCCTCTGCTCCATTTCCCTCGCAGCGAATCACAACAGAAGAAGAGAGAAATAAGACGACACGAGGAGCTCGAGTAAAAACACTGAACTTCGTTAAAGACTAGTAAAGGCTGACGTGGGGGACGGGGGGTCTAAAAGGCTCGGCGCTGACGAGAGCGCGGTGACACCTGGGCAGGATGGCAGCAGGGAGCGGGTCCGGGGCCTGACGATGGAAAGGACTGAATGAAACTGGGCAAAGAGCCAGCACGAAGAAAATACAGACAATAAACCAAAGAGATAAACGTGAAAATAAACTCAGAACAGAAGAAATTCACTAGAAAGTTTCCTGGAGAAACTTTGACGTGGCGGCCATCTTTAAATTTTGAGGGGTTCTCTCAGCTTCCACCAAATTCCAGCTCAATATGGAACAAAAATCAAAGTCGCGGTGGCCGTCTTGGATTTTTGATTTGTGTGTGATGGAGAGCATTTTCAGCTGTAACGTCACCAAATTTCAGCTCCATGTGTAAAAACAGCTGCGTTAAAGCCATTTAAATGTAGCTTTGGTGGCCATCTTGAATTTTTTTATTTTAATTCAGTATTTACTGGGCATTGCTCTCAGCTACCAACACACTAAATTTCAGCTTAATATCTCTAAAAATTGATGATTTATAGTATTTTTCCCTTTAGCTCAGGCGGCCATCTTGGTTATAGAATTATGTTTACCAATATTTTGACGGGTGACACAAATAACTTGCTGAATATCGTGATGATGACAGTAATCTGAGATCCCAAGGTTTATTTTCTGTAACAATTAGCGACCGCGCTGAGACAGTTGAGGCAGTTTGATGAAAAGCAGAATTTGTGCGTCACCCAGTCAAACTGTCGCAGGCGGCTCGGTGGGTTCGTCCAGCCGGAGACTTTCTTCTCACAGCTGGAATTTGTGAAACCAAAGCAAACGAAGCGTTGCGCGTCAGCCTGTTCAGCAGCTCGTGTGTTTCAGAGGCGGTGAAAACGTCTGACTTTGTTTCTCTGAATCTCCCGGCAGATGAGCGCGGACTCCTGCTGCGACGTCAGCGGTACCACTTCAACACCAGCTCTCTGGAACGAGACGGGCTCCTGGGGGCCGAGCTCCGGATCCTGAGGAAGCGTCTGTCCGACACCCGCCCGGCACCGATGGGCTCCACAGCTGCTGGAGGAGGCTCGTACCCGTGCCTGAAGCTCTACACCTGCGCTTCAGGTAAACAGAAACCTGTCGTGCTCCAGACCAGGACCGTGGAGGACCTCCTCAACGGATTCTCCAACAAATGGGAAGTGTTTGACATACACAAGGTCTTCAAGGGTCTGAAAAGCCTGCAGGACCAGCAGCTCTGCTTTGAGCTCGAGGCCTTGGAGCACAGAGGAGGGCGGCCCCTGGACCTGAGAACTCTCGGGTTTGCTCGATTCGGCAGAACCAACAAGGAGAAAGCTTTCCTCTTGGCGTTCGGCAAGAGCAAGAAGGGGGACCTGTTCTACAACGAGATCAAAGCCCGTTCAGGTCATGACAACAAAACCGTCTACGAGTACCTGTTCACCCAGCGCCGAACGAGACGAGCTCCTGCAGCCAGAGGGTCCAAAAAACCCCTGCGCCTGCCCACGCAGACCCTCCCCCACCCACACATGGCGAAAGTGAGGCCGCGCTGCCACCGGAGACGGCTTCACGTCAACTTCAAGGAGATGGGCTGGGACGACTGGATCATCGCGCCGCTGGAGTACGACGCCTACCACTGCGACGGCGCCTGCGACTTCCCCATCCGCTCGCACCTGGAGCCCACCAACCACGCCATCATCCAGACCCTCATCAACTCCATGGACCCGGAGTCGGCGCCACCCACCTGCTGCGTGCCGACCCGCCTCAGCCCCATCAGCATCCTCTACATCGACTCGGCCAACAACGTGGTCTACAAGCAGTATGAGGAGATGGTGGTGGAGTCGTGTGGCTGCAGGTAGCAGCGAGAACTTCCAGGAACTGGGCTGAAGAGCTTTGATTCCCAACATTAGTCTCCACGCTCGATTGGCTCCGTCAGACTGCATACCGGAGCAGCTAAAGACTAAACAGAGATGATAAACCGATGGATGTTTGCTCCAAACGCCCACTCAAACTGTCGATGCTGCCAAGACGTGTCTGAGAGAAAAAAACGGGCTCAGACACGAAGACTCGGAGCTGATTGGTGTAAAAATACCGCCGAGACGTTCAGTGAATTATACTCAACGTGCCTTTTTTCCAGCACTTATCTGAGTCGTTTGTTTGTCTTCTCCAGGACTTTTTTTTTATCTTTAAAAGCATGTGAGGAATCTGTGATGTATGATGAAGTGCTGCTCTGACCCGCTCCCAGTGTGGGAAACTTGCTCAGACTGGTCTTCAGTAAAAAAGGCTGAACTGACGGAGGTCCAGACTGTCGAGTGCAAACCTCTGACCTCCCTCTGCAGACTGAACTATGAGAAGATCTGAGAGGTTCTCACAACAAATCAGCATCAACACAACCGTATAATCTCCTGTTAAAGTCTTTTGTTGTTTTGAATTTGCATAAATTAAAGTCCCAGTTTCATATTTCCCACAAACTGATCATTCAGTTATTGTTATTACTGGATCATTTTAAAACAACATCACGGATCAAACAGTGTTTGAAGCCAAACATGAAGAATGTTAAAGATAAGTCAGGTCCTGTGGACGGATTTTTTATTTTTATTGAAACATTTCCTCTTTTATCCAAAAGTCTTCTTCAGTCTGAAGAGCTGCAACAAACTCAGTCTTAGGGTGCATTCATACCAGTCCTGTTTAGTCCGCTTTAATCGAACTGTAGTCCATTCGCCTAGAAAGTCTGGTTCTTTTGGGGAGGTGTGAATGTGCAATCAAACTCTGATGGGACAAAAAAAGTGAACTCTGGTCCGCCTAAAAACCTTGGTCTCAGTTCGGTTGAAGTGAACTCTGGCGCGGTTCAAATTCAGTGTGAATACAAGCGTACCAGAGACCGCTCCAAAAGCAGGAAGTGGACTACAGCGCAGGGCATTCTGGGTAAATACAACCTGAATGAGCGACCTCTGGTCTGCAGATGAGTGTAAAGCAACAGAAGAGCAACATCATCAGGCCAAGACTCTGTGGTCTACACTCATCTGCAGACCAGAGGTCACTCTTTCAGGGATGAAGATGTTCACGTCCTTGATAGAGAGGAACGATGGTTTGAGAGAGGAGTAAAGGAGGCCATCTTTGTGAAAAGAAATTGTCCATCATTAAACAGGGGTGGAGCCTCCAGGTTCAACTGTCCCCCTCCTACAATGCTGTGATTGCTAGTATCACTCAACCCTCTGTGAATATCATGTGGTCATCAGGGCACTAACAATCGGTTGTTAGGATGATGGTCCTCCTTGATCATGTAAACAGCTAGTTCTGGATGTCAACATCCAACTGGTTGATCCACTCTGAGAAGGTGCTATTTATAAGACTGAGTTTGTTTCAGCTCCTCAGACTGAAGAAGTCGTTTGGATAAAAGACAAAACGTTTCAAGTCTTTATTTGTATTTTTTTTTTCATCCGTCCAGAGGACCTGACTTAACTTTGCTAGATTTTTCTACCTGGATTATTGAGCATGCATCAGGATATGAAGAATGTTGGTACGAGTTTTGATTGAATAAAACCGTTTCAGGTGAGTTCAAATGTTTAGTTGTGTGAATGCTTATTAAGCTTTTTTTCTCATAGAAAATGCATTGAGCTCATTTTACATCCTTCAGATCTTTAGATCAGTTTACAACCTTTCACATTTTGTTCAGACACTACCCTTATGTTGAACACATTCAAATTGCATTTGTGTGCTTCTTCTAACTGTTTTCTGCTAATTTCAGCATGTTATGCTCCTTTCAGCTTATTTCTGCTAGTTGCAGGTTTTTCCACTATTTCAGCTACAATTTAACTGTTTTTATGCTAATTTGAACATTTTCAGCTCCATTTCACCTTTTTTGCACTCATCTTTTTCAGCCTAATTCAGCAAATGTGCTTTATCCACTTCCTTCTGGTAATTTAAGCTCCTTTCTGCTTTTTAGCTACTTTGCAGCTTTTTTTTTTTTACTAGTTTCAGCTTTTTTCAGATAATTTTCACTTTTTTGTGCTCATTTCTGCTTCTTTCAGTTTAATGGAGCAAACGTTATTTCTATTTTCTTTTGCTAATTTAAGCTTGTTCTACCCTTTCATATGCATTTTTAGCATTTTAGCTAATTTCAGCTGTTTTCAGATAAATTCAAGTTTTTCTTGATAATTTCTGCTACTTTCAGCCTAATTAATATCTTCACACTAATTTTAGCTTGTTATGCTACTTTCAGTTTTTTCTATTAGTTTCAGCTTTTTCAGTCAGAGTCAGAGATTTTTTATTGTCATTCGCACCTCATGTGGTACATGTGGTGGAGCGCAATTATGTCTACAGGGTCCCAGTTACATCCAACAATAAAATGTAAAAGAAAACCAGTAATAAGATCTAAGAAATGAACTAAGAAAAACATCAACTAAAAATACACTAAGCACTAATGGCATAAAAAACATCACGTTGAACAGCAGCACGAACATGAGTCTGTGTGAGCAGATGAGCACGCATGAACACATCAACATGAAACAGATCAGCAGCAACATGAAACAGATCAGCAGCAACATGATGTGATTTTTTTCACAGTGATTATTCTGGTTAGAGATTCATGAGTCTAACAGCCTCAGGGTAGAAGCTGTTCCTCAGTCTAGCGGTTCTACACTTAATGCTCCTCAAACTCCTTCCTGAGGGGAGTGGGGCAAAAAGTGTGTGTGCTGGGTGAGTGGGGTCCTTCATGATGCAGGTGGCCCTCTTCCTGCATCTGGAGGTGTAGATGTCTGTGATGGTGGGGAGACTGACTCCAACAGTTTCTGTGCAGCCTTCACCACTCTCTGCAAAGCTTTTCTTTCTGCAGCTGTGCAGCCTCCATGCCACACGTTGATGCTGGAGCACAGGATGCTCTCCACTGCACACCTGTAGAAGGAGGTGAGGACTGAGCTTCCCAGACCAGCTCGCCTCAGCCGCCTGAGGAAGTAGAGTCTCTGATGAGCTTTCTTGATCAGGCTGGTGGTGTTGTTGCTCCAGCTGAGGTTGTTGTTTATGTGTACATCAAAGTACTTGTAGATGGAGACCACTTCCACCGCAGATCCTCTTATGTTCAGGGGGGTGTAGATGTTTTTGTTCCTTCTGAAGTCCACAATCATCTCCTTTGTCTTCTTCACATGGATGTGAAGGTTGTTCTTCTTGCACCAGCTCTCCAGGTGTTCCATCTCTTGCCTGTAGCTGGACTCATCATTGTTTGTGATGCATCCCACCACCGCTGTATCATCTGCAAACTTTACAATGTGACAGCCTGGATGGGTAGCTGCACAATCATATGTGAGCAGAGCAAACAGGAGGGGGCTCAACACACATCCCTGAGGAGAGCCAGTGCTGAGGGTTATGGTGGAGGAGGAGAGGTTGTGGATCCTCACTAACTGTGGTCTGTTTGTTAAAAAGTCTAGTACCCAGTTGCAGATGGAGGGGCTTAGTCCTAGTGTGGATAGTTTGTCCATCAGGGTTTGGGGGATCATGGTGTTGAAGGCGGATGTGAAGTCCACAAAGAGCATACGGACGTAAGAGTTTTTCTGCTCCAGGTGGTTGAGCGCAGTGTGGACCACAGAGGAGATTGCATCCTCTGTTGATCGGTTCTCACGGTATGCGTACTGATGAGGGTCCTCGTTGATGTTGATGGTTGTTTTGATGCGAGTCATGACCAGTTTTTTTAAGCATTTAGCGACTATCGGGGTGAGGGCCACTGGCCGATAGTCATTCAGACCAGTCACTGTAGAGCTCTTTGGGACTGGGATGATGGTGGCAGTCTTCAGGCAGGTGGGAACTGTCTCCAGGGTAAGTGAGGTGTTAAAGATGTCTGCCAGCACCTCGCAGAGCTGATCGGCACATTCCTTCAACACTTTTCCGGGGATGTTGTCTGGGCCGATTGCCTTGTTTGTTGCTTTTTTCTGCTACTATTTAGCTGTTTTTATGCTAATTTTAGCCTTTTCATCTAATTTCACATTTTTTAAGCTCATTTCAGCTCTTTCTGGTAGTTTAAGCTTCTTTCTGCCTTTTCTGCTTCTTTTTTTTTAGCTAATTTAAACTTTTTTTAGCAACTTCACTAATTTTTGTGCTCGTTTCTTATTTTAACATAATTCAGCAAATATGTGTACTTTCTGCTTCCTTCTGCTAATTTAGGCTTGTCCTTGAATTTCAGCTACATTTCAATTAGTTTTTTTTTAAGCCAATTTCAGCTGTTTTTCAGCTTGTTCTTCTGCAATAAGCATTCACAATGCATTTTCACAGGAAATGCAATTTCTCTACTTAAAAACACATTTAGTCGTATTTCTTCACAGCTCAACGAAACATCTGGGACGTGCTTTTGGTGAAACTGAAATTAAAATTTATACGTTTGCAGCTTCTGCCACTTTGTACCCAGAAGGTTTGGGTACTAAAAGAAGCTTTCTGCTCAGCGTAGATGAATCCGAGTGTGCTTCATCAGACCAGTTTGATCGGATCTGAGCGTTCAGGGCTGGAACTCCAGATGTTTCAGGAATAAAATCAACCAGGAGATGGAATATGGAGGACGGAATGTGACAAAATTAAATACATAATAATGAAATGTATCATTTAATTATTCCGTCCTCCAGAATGAAGAAGCTTCTCCTCCAGAATGAAGAAGCTTCTGCTCCAGAATGAAGGATGTTCCTCCAGCTGTCGACAAAGATAAACAAAATGTTTCAATTGAAAGCGTGCAGCCATAGATGGATGCCCTTCCACTGCCCGACGGGTCTTTTACTCACGCTGAGCATGCTAGCACTTCCAGTTTTAAACTGGTTTATTCAACCTGGATGACTGAGCACAAACTTTGTTAAACTGGTTTATTATTTTATACACTCAACAG